CCCGGCGGGCCTGCCTGCCTGCCCAGCTTCGCCACGTGTCATCCCCAGTACTCCCCCCTGGGACCCCTTGGCAGGTCGGGGGAGATCCTTCTCACCCAGGGCGAGTGGGGGCACATCGCCCCCACTGCAGGGGACCCAGGTCCCTAACTGTCACTCCTGCCTTCAGTAAGAGCTACGGCAACGTTCTGGTGTTGGACGGCGTCATCCAGTGCACAGAGAGGGACGAGTTCTCCTACCAGGAGATGATAGCCAACCTGCCCCTCTGCAGCCACCCCAACCCACGCAAGGTACCCCCGCTCGGCAAGGTTCAGCCCCCACACAGGAAGCCCACTGCTCAGTGTCCCGCAGAACAGTGCGGGAGGCCCCGACGCGCATGGATGTGGCCATGCTCGGCCCAGCTGCTTCCTAAATGGTTGTCAGAAAGTGTTAGCAAAGCACAAGGGGAGTAAGTTGGGTGGGGGTGGCGGCCGGCCCACTTCACAGGGTGGGGGCTGACACAGCCTCTGAGGAGCAAACCCTTCTCACTGAGGCCCGAAGCTTAAGAAGCAGCAGCCCTGGGAGGAGTTTCCAGGAAAAGGGGACGCCTCGTGCCAGGTTCCTGAGGCAGGACAGCGTTGCTGAGAGTAGCAGATGAAATAATAAGGTCTGTGCATCAGCGGGGTTGAGAAACCTACCCTGTTCAGATGGTTTTGCGTGAGCGTATCTGCCCCGTGCGGGCGCAGGCCGCTGAGTCCTGCTGGAGCCTGTTTGGTGAGGCTGATGCTCAGCTGATGCCCTGCTTCTGACTGTTCCTCCCGCTCCTAGGTGCTGATCATCGGGGGTGGGGACGGGGGTGTCCTGCGGGAGGTGTTGAAGCATTCCTCTGTGGAGTCCGTGGTCCAGTGTGAGATTGATGAGGTGAGTGTTGGGCTCTGGGGTCAAGTCCCAGCTCCGCCCTGGGACTTGGCTGTGTTCCCTTGGGCAAGTTGCTTAACCTTGCTCAGCCTCTTTCTTCGTTGGGAGGATTCAGTAGAAGATCTGGGTAGTAAAGGGCCTTGCACGTAATAAGTGTGCCTCAATGCTGGCTCTTAGTAAGATTAAGCTGGTTTTCAAGTCAAGATCCAGGAGCGTTCCAACTACTCGTGCGTGCGTTTACCCTTTACGCTCAGCTTGTTTTTAATGAGCATCTAGTACGCAGCAGCCATCGTCCTAGATGCTGGGGCACAGTGGTGAATGGACCCGTCCAGTCCCCACCCCCTTGGAGTCTGTCTTCCAGGGAGGAAGAGACTTAAGAGGGTGATCTGGTGAAGGCGTGGTGGGAGCCGGGGGTGAAAGGAAAAGGTAGGCTCAGAGCTCACGGGTGAAGGCTGGTCAGCGCAGGCCTCCCGAGGAGGTAGATTTCAGCTGAGGCTCGGATGGAAAACAGTTGGCCACGTGGAGGCAGGGGAAGGTCCTCCTGGAGGAGGTTGGACTCGCCTCCCTCTGAGATAGCAAGAAAGTCACTCAGAAGGGACAGTTTGGTCTGGGGACAGAGAACAGGGACAGTGGGATGTGGGCCGGGGAGCAGGGAGGAGCCATCCTGCCATGACTGAGAGGGAGGTACCAGAGTGCCCCCCATCTTACAGATGTGGAAGCCGGGTTTCCACAAAATGAATGGCTTGCCCAAGTGACCGGGCGATTAGAGGGACTGCTGGAGGGCCTCCAACCCCCACGGCAGAGCCCGGTCCCTCCTCCCTCCTCAGGACGTCATTCGGGTCTCTAAGAAGTTCCTGCCGGGCATGGCCGTGGGCTACTCCAGTTCCAAGTTGACCCTACACGTGGGTGACGGTTTTGAGTTCATGAAACAGAACCAGGATGCCTTCGATGTCATCATCACTGACTCCTCAGACCCCATGGGTAAGCGAGGGATGGGCCTTGGGCCCCCCTGGCAGCCACTGTCCAGAGGCGGGGGTCCTGTGTCTTTCCTGTCTTGGTTGCTACCTCCCCAACCCAGCCCTGGCTCAGCAGAGGCAGACCACGCTGTTGCCCAAAGTTCACAGGTTGGTTTCCTAGAGGAGGGTGGGGCTCTGGTCTTGGCCCACTGAGGCCTAAGTTTCTTCTTCAGCCTCTTCTCTGGTCTTAATAGGCCAGCATCAGGGCAGGGATCTAGTCTCAACCCAGGGCCCAGGGTGGAGAGTCCCCCAACAAAATGGCAATGAGAACCCCCCACCTCCCTGCCCAGGAATGGGACGAAAACATGGAGCCCTCCTCAGGCGGACAATGGATCCTTGCGCTCCTCAAAAGCACTCTCTTTGTGGTTGGTTTCTGAATCCACAGACCTGGGCTGAAATCCCGGCCCTGCCCCCTTGGCAGCTGTGAACGTGTAAAGGGGCAGTGGTGGTACTTGCCAGAGCCAGGCTCAGGAGGTCTCAGCCATTGTCCCTTGTCCCCACCACTGCAGGCCCTGCGGAGAGTCTCTTCAAGGAATCCTATTACCAGCTCATGAAAACGGCTCTCAAGGATGATGGCGTCCTCTGCTGCCAGGGTGAGCAGGCCGGCGTCGGGGGCGGGGCGGGGGTCCTCCAGTGTTGGGGGGCGCTGCCTGCCGGCGCTGATACTGCCCTGCTCTCTCCACAGGTGAGTGCCAGTGGCTGCACCTGGACCTCATCAAGGAGATGCGACAGTTCTGCAAGTCGCTCTTCCCTGTGGTGGCCTACGCTTACTGCAGTATCCCCACCTACCCCAGCGGCCAGATAGGCTTCATGCTGTGCAGCAAAAATCCGGTGAGCTGCGCTCCCTCCTGGGGCTAGGAGGGGGGCAGGTGGGCACGAAGGCGCTTCCCTGACGCCCCCGTCCCCCGCCCCCAGGGCACCAACTTCCGGAAGCCCGTGCAGCAGCTGACACGGAAGCAGGTTGAACAGATGCAGCTGAAATACTACAACTCCGACGTGCACCAGGCAGCCTTCGTCCTGCCCGAGTTTGCCCGTAAGGTGAGCCGCTGGCAGGACCGGGCAGGGGGGCCTGGGGCCTCCCGAGGGTCCTCCTGAGCCCCCACGTGACCCAGCACTCCCCTGACGAGGCCTTCTGTCCCCCCAGGCCCTGAATGACGTGAGCTGAGCCCAGGTACCGCCGCCCGTGCTGCCCAGGACCTCAGTCCAGGGAGCCTCCGGGGCGCCTGGGTGTGACAAGCCCTGGACAGGACCCCCCCGACCCTGCCCCACCGGCGCGCCCACCAAGCAAGTGTTACAGGCCCCGGAATGCTGCCCAGCCTGCGCCGCTGGGCGGACTGTCTGTCTCTCTCAATGTGGCGTTCAGCCTCCAAGCCTATGGCAGCTGTGTATGGCACCTTCTCCGCCTTCTGTCACCCTCACTCACCAAACACGTGTATTTATAACAAAGTCTGAATCGTGTGTCCCCCGATCTTGAGTGGGCCCAGGCGGGCGCCACCTCAGCCACGGTTGGACACTCCTGTGTAGCAGGCTCCAAGGCGGCCCCAGTGTCGGGCCTCTAGGTGTCTGCCCCACGCCCTCCCTGTGTAGCCTTGGACTGGCCCTCGACCTCAGGCACCGGGGGACACAGCAGTTATCAAACTGGGCCCGCATCTGTCCTGTCCTGAGACACTGCCTTAGTCATTCCTTCAGTGAACACCACAAGGACAGAGGTGACAGACCCCTGGGGCCGGGGCTGTGGGGCTGACAAGATCATGGCGGGGCCATTCGGAGGCTTTGTCGTCTCAGAAGAATTTGGGTCACTCACAGGCTTGTCAGGTGCCATCCTGGGGATCGGGGTGGGGAAGCTGGAGATGACTCCAGGCAGCTGGCTGGGGCATGCTTGGGGTCCGGTTACTTGGGCCTGTGTAAACACATCAGGTGCCCTAACGTGGCTCAGGATTCAGACTTAGGTTCCGATCCTGCCTGCCAACCCGTGAGTGTGCTGTGGTCAATTCCCAGAAGTTCCCCCGAGCGTTGAGAGAGCTTGAGAAAACAGGTGTGGGTGGCTATACCAGGACTGTGGGCGCAGGACTGTCCCCTCTCCAAGGTGCTGAACCTCCATCCTCTGCCCCAGGCACCTTACCCTTCCCGATGACCTGCACTGAGGCTCTGCTGGTACGAGAGAAGCCACAACACGGTGCAGGTTCAGGGGGGAGGCCTCCAGCCCACCCCCATCTCAGGGTCTACAGGAAAGAGCCCTGCTCCTTGGAAAAGCCGAACTCACCAACCGCCTTCTCCGCCCTCGACAGAGGCACTGCCAGAGGATGAGTTGACCTGGAAGGGGACTTGGCAGGGCGGTGACAAGGGAGTGGCTCCAGCAGGGAGGAAGGATGCCAGAACACCCCCCTGACCTGCACCTGCCCTGGGCAGCTACCCCAGACCCGACAGTTTCAGGGGCTTGGAACTGCAGTCATCACGGGGTTGGGGAGCAAGCCTCCAGCTGCACAGATAATTCCTTGAGTGGCCGCAGGCAGGTCACTTCCCTGCTCTGGGCTCCACGCACCCCAACCCCACACCCTCACTGGACCCGGACCACCTTCTGACACCTGATCGCTAACTTTGCCAGAAACCCAGGCTTGGGGATGGGCGTTGTTCCCCCAGGTCTCCCCACTCCCAGGGAGGCCGGGTGGCGTCACGACAAGTCTGGGCCGCAAGGCAGAGTGTCAGTTAAAAGAAGATGCGGTGGCCAATTACAAAGCCCTGACCCAGCACAGGTCTTCGTTCCTTAAACCTTCACAGCTGCCTGTAAGGTACTGTGCCCAGGAGAGGCGGATGCTGCCCAGGGCCACACATCTAGTCAGCACACGGTGGGGGGTACCAGGCACCTGGCCTTCTGAGAGCCACTCCACTCTGCCCGCCCCACATGCCTCTGCAGCTCAGCCCAAGCACCCTCGGGCCCCAGCAGGGACATCACCGGGCCTCTGCTCTCAGGGCGCCTCCTGCCCCAGCCCATCTTACCAGACTCCAGGAAGGTCTGTCCCAAGGTTAACCCGAGGGATGCTGCTGGCAGGGGCTCTGGACTTGGATCTGAATCTCAACCCTGCCTCCTGCTGGCTCTGTGGCTTTGAACCACTCTGCTCCTGACTTGCTTACCCTGCCTGTAAAATGGGAGCATTCATAGCCCTTACCCATGACGGGCTTATTAAGGGGTGTAGGTGACACAGTGCTTGCTGAGTAGGTGACAATCAGGATCGCCTATCAGGACAGAGAAAGAGGAGAGGAGGCCCCAAGGTGTAGAAAGAGGGAGGCCATCGGGAAACAAGAATGCCTTTCCTGGACGTTGAAGTTGTCCACAGCGTAAATCCCTCCACTTACCCAACTTTTAATAAAGCCTCCTTGAAGGGGTGCACGTTAGTTAGGGACTAGCACTGGGCCCCACATCGAGGTGGGTGTGATGTAGACACAGACTAATGGGCCAAAGCAGAAGGGGGGCATTCAGTGCAGACGTGGCCTGAGCCCCGAGGCCCCAGAAATGCCGGAGAGGGCCACAAACGCCCCCTCTGTGGCATGGCGGTTAAAGACGTTTTGGGGTTTTGTTTTTTCGTTTGTTGTTTTTGTTTGTTTGAGTTTGGGGTTTTTTGTTTTTTTTAAGCTCTATGCCCAACACGGGGCTTGAACTCGTGACCCTGAGATCAAGAGTCACATGCTCTACTGACTGAGCCGGCCAGGCACCCCGTAGCTTTGAAGTTTACTTATTTATCAAAACTAGCCCTGCTCCGGTGTAAGGATTCCAGTAGGTGGACCATTTGGAAGGAAAATAGCGGGCCTCCTCGGCCACTGCACTTCTCGCAGAGGCAGCCACGTGTACCTCTTCAGCCAAGGCTTCTGGTCTTTGCCTTCACGTCTGGAGCATCCTGGAGCCTCTCAGCGTGGCAGCTTCAGTCATAATCTGTTGACTTTCCACTAGGGAAGCTGAGGATTTCGTTTTTCCCTTCCCTGACCCAGCCACACTCTCAACAACTAAACGATCATCTTGGGGCCACATTCAGCACGGGTGCCAGTACAGCTCTATAAACGTCACTCTCGGCTGGGACAGGAGACCAACTTCATCTGCACACCTCACTTCCCCTGGGGGTGTTTCACATCTGCTTAAATTTCTTTTAAGTTTATTTTGAGAGAGAGAGAGAGTGTGTGTGTGTGTTCTCACATTAGCAGGGGAGGGGCAGAAAGGGAGAGGGAGAGAGAAAATCCCATGCAGGCTCCACGCTGTCCGTGAAGAGCCCTGTGCAGGTCTTGAACTCACAAATTGTGAGACCGTGACCTGAGCTGAAATCAAGAGTTGACGCTTAACAGACTGAGCCACCCAGGCGCCCCTCACATTGTCTTAATTTTTAATAAATTCATCGCCAGTTCAGCCCCGAACTTTTTACCAAATCTTGAGAGCTCTTTTTAAGATCTTTGGACTCAATATACTTCATGAGGGTCTGGACAGAATGCTAACCAGTTTTTTGCTATGAGACCCTAGTAACTGCCCCATTATAATTTATAGTTCATTCATGATTATGTTCAATGGAATGTTCAGTAACAGGAAATATTAACATACCTAATATGCATTTGTTCATTATGATTTATACCAGAAAGTACATAGCACTCTTTTGAGAAACAATAACTACTGAAAAAGTGGGGTTTTTTTGTTAACGTATATTTATTTTTGAGAGAGAGAGAGACACATAGAGTGTGAGTGGGGGAGGGGAGGAGAGAAAGGGAGACACAGAATCTCAAGCAGCCTCCAGGCTCCCAGCTGTCAACACAGAGCCCAATGAGGGGCTTGAACTCATGAACCGTGAGATTGTGACCTGAGCCAAAGCCGGATGCTTAACCGACTGAGCCACCCAGGCACCCCTGAAAAAAAGTTTTAATGTTTAAACTCAACAAGTGTTCTGACTGCCCCTGAGCCTTGGACCACCCCTGGTGGAACTCCCTATCAGAAGTCTTGTCTCCTGGACCTCATGCCTTCCCGTTTCATGGTTTACTCCCTGGTCTTGGTGGAGCATATTCCCTAGTAACTTTCTGAGAAAGGGGACAGGGGATGCTTGAAAAATCTGACACACATGAAATGTCCCTGTTCCACTGCTTGACTGATGGGCATAGAATTTGGATAGGTATAGAATTCTATGTTGGAAATCATCTCCCTTTAGCATTTTGAGATTTGCTCTTTTCCATTTTTATGGATTATCTCTTGCTGTGTTGAAAAGTACCTCAGAGGTGGCAGATTGAAATGCTTTTCTGCAGGTCAGGAATTTGGGAGTGGCTTAGCTAGCTGGTGCAGTCTAGACTCCTCCGTAAGTTTGCGGCAAAGCCGTCGGCCAGTCACCTGGCCTTAACTGGAACCGGAGGATCAACCTCCAAGACGGGTCCCTCACCATCTTGGTGATTTGATGGGTGACCAGCAAATTACGCCAGTGGTTGCTAGGAGGCCTCAGTTCCTCCCCCATGTGGCCCCCATAGGGATACTGAGTGGCCTCACAACATGGCAGCTGGCCTCCCCCAGAGCAACTGATCCCAAAAAGAGCCAGACAGAAGTTGCAGCGTCCCTTAGGGCCTGGCCACAGAGTAACACACATCTCAGCCGTATCGTACCCCCAAGCTTTAGTCTGGCAGAGGACTGTGCAGAGCCCGACACGGGGTTCGCTCTCATGACACTGGAGTCATGACCTGCGCTGAAACCAAGAGTCGGGCACTCAACCGACTGAGCCCCCCAGGCATCCTGGGATTGGCTAGCTTCTTAATGCTTCCAGAAGGACTCAGTGCCGCCAATCCCCAAGCCGATTTCCCCTTCCGTTGCCGATTTAGAGTTGCTTTCTAGAGGGTTATTTTCACCTGTCCACTTCCCCAGCTTCCAAAATGGGAACGCTGCCTCCTCTCCCATAGCCTCCGTCCTCATACATTCATGTGTTTTTAAAAATTCTCTTCCCGGGGCGCCTGGGTGGCTCAGCCAGTTGGCGTCTGACTTCAGCTCAGGTCACGATCTCACCATTAGTGCGTCTGAGCCCCACATTGGGCTGCTCTCTGCTGTCCCTGTGGAGCCCGCTTCGGATCCTCTGCCCACCCCTTCTCTCTCTGCCCTTCCCTCACTTGCAGTCTCTCTCTCTCAAAAATAAAAGACATTTAAGAAACCTCTCTCTCCCATCTTGCATAGGGTTTCAGGAGGGAGCAAACATAAATGCATCCCCCACCTCCGTCCAGAAGCCATCGTTGTCACGGAGGCCCCCCTCCGGCCTTAGGAGGAAACACAGAAGTTAAGGGTGAGGGACGGAGCCAAGATTCATTCCAGGGCCATCTGTCATCCAGGTGCAATTCCTGGCTCCTGGAGCGTCCTGTCCTCCCTGCCGGAAAGCTGGGGCAAGCAGGAGTCACGGGGTCAATTCCCAGAATCCCAGGGTCAGGGAGGCTGGGGGCAGGGCCGGGCACTGGACAAACAGATCAAAGGTGAGACCATGAGGCTCCAGATCCGGCCTGGTCAGCTGGATGGGTGCACGAGGTGAGTGGACCACCACCCCCCCCCCCCAGCCTCCCCCGCAGGGGCGAGGGGTGAGGACAGGCCTCCGGGCCCTCACCCACCCCCGTGCCGCCGCCCTCAGGCTGCTGCTGATCTTCCTGGGCCTGCTGTGGGGCTCGGCAGCCGCACCCCAGGGCCCGCAGTGGCCCGAGCCCGTGTTCGGGCGCCTGGCGTCTCCTGGCTTCCCCGGGGAGTATGGCAACAACCAGGACCAGCGCTGGACCCTGAGGGCTCCCCCCGGCTACCGCCTGGGCCTCTACTTCACCCATTTCCACCTGGAGCTCTCCTACCTCTGCGAGTATGACTTTGTCAAGGTGCCGACGGAGCGGGGGGTGACCCGGACCCTCTCGGGGGCTGGGGGCTCCCGACGAAGGGGCCCCGTGGTCGGGGGGTGGCTGGGCAGGGACACGTGGGAGCGGGGTCTGGCCTCCGAGGGAGGGAAGGAGGAACGGAGAGACGGCGGGCCTTGCGTCTTGCCCTCCCTCCCTGTGACCCCGACCCTACAGCTGAGCTCAGGGACCAAGGTGCTGGCCACGCTGTGCGGGCAGGAGAGCACAGACACGGAGCGGGCCCCCGGCAACGACACTTTCTACTCGCCGGCCTCCAGCCTGGATGTCACCTTCCACTCCGACTACTCCAACGAGAAGCCCTTCACGGGCTTTGAGGCCTTCTATGCGGCAGAGGGTGAGCCGAGAGGAGGTGGGGGCGGGGGAGGGCCCATCTGCGGGCCGGGGGCGACTCTGTCTTGGGCCACGCCAGCTCTCCCTTCAGCCTCCTCACCTCCCCGAGGCTGGATTCCTGCCAAGCCAGCGGGAGAGAAGTCCGCAGATCAGTCCAACACCATCCCCGGTGCAAATATCAGTGACAGCCATGCCTTCCGCCCTCCGACTGAGCCTGACGGTGCTGAGCCAGGGACATGCCCACAGCCCCCCCTGTGGTGCAAGGGCCCAGGGAGCCCACTTACTCCGCCGAGAACGGACGGCCCGGAACACTGTACTTGTGCGCGGGCCTCGAGCCTGACCCTTGATTTCGCATGGCGGCTCCGGGGTGGAGGGGGTCCGCTGTGTGACCTTGGGCACGTGGCTCAACCTCTCTGTGCTCCCCAGGAGGGTGCAGCGGGGTTTGGCGGAACCTGCTCGGTGGGTTCGACCGATCACCCGCTAGCTGGGTGACTCGGAGCAGGATGCTTCACCTGTCCCTGGTTTGGAGAAGGTGGTGCTGATGTCTACCTCCAAGCGTCCCGGGGACGTTACGGTGCCCCTGGGCCTAGAACATGCTTGGCCAGGCACCAGCCTCTTCGAGACATGAGGGGACTCCTCTCGGCTCAGCCGTGAGGCCCCAGATCGGCCTCCTCTCCTTCCCTCTGACCACCCGCCTGGCCCGCTCCTCCCCCAGACATCGACGAGTGCCAGGTGCCCCCAGGAGAGGCGCCTCCTTGCGACCACCACTGCCACAACCACCTGGGTGGCTTCTACTGTTCCTGCCGCGCGGGCTACGTTCTCCACCGCAACAAGCGCACGTGCTCAGGTGAGCTGTGGCCGTGGGGGCGGGGCGGACACGGCGCCCAGCCCAGCCCCCACCTTGGCCCAGGATACAGCCAGCTCCTCAAGGCCATAGCCGCTCTGCCCGGGGCTCCGGGGGGACCCCTGGCCTTGGCCCACTGGGCACTTCTAGCAGGCCGCCGGCCCACCTTTGATCTTCTGTCCCCTCCTGCCGTGTGTCCCATCCACTCACGTTCCCTCTGCCCTCGGCTCGGCCATTGGTCCTCAGCCCGTTCCCTTAAATCGCATGTGTTAGGCCCCCACCGTGTATCCCGTCTGGGCTCCGGGCATCCCCCGCCCCCATACAGCCGCCCTGGGCCCCCAGATGGGAAGAGTGGGGGACGCGGGCCTGGCTCACACAAGCTTCCCTGCACAAAACTTCCCAGTGTGGACAGGGCGTGCTCAAAGCGGCTGGTTCCCAGCAGGCCAGCCCCTTCGGCCTCTACTGCCCGCCCCCTCTGAACTCCTGCCAGGCGCCAGGTGGCCAGACGGCAGGAAACCCGGGGGTGTCCTGGCGAGAGGGCGGCCCCCAGCCTCAGTGCTGACCCCGCCTCCCCCTGTTCAGTGTCTCTCTCCCAGTGTCTCTCCCTGTCTCTCTGTTCTCTCTTCCAGAGCAGAGCCCCTAGCCTCACCTCCGGCTCCGGTCTGGGTCGGGCCGAGATTGCTGCAGCCCCCCTGACCGCCCCATCCCCGGACCTAACAATAAACCTGCCTCCACCTCTACTTCTGCTTCGTGTCTCTTGGGGGGCCCTGTGGGGAGAGGGCTGTGGTGTGCACCCTGGCCGCCTCCCCTCTCTCCCTACCCTCATCAAGGCCTGGAGGCACCTCGGTCAGTGGGAGTCCCCTCCACGGGCCACGGGCCTCTTTGATAGAAAGGCTTACTCAGCAGCCCCCAATCCATTTGGAAGGTGGGGCACTGAGGCCCAGAGAGGGGCGAGGGCTGGCCTGAGTTCACACAGGGAAACCGAGCTCTCTCTACGCCCCACTAGGTCCCCAGGGGCTGAGCTGGGAGCATCCTGAGACCAGCTCCTGTTCAGAGGATGGCTCCTGTCCCACGTGTGCTGGGCTGGGGGAGCCTGACCCCGAGCACAGAGGCCCGGCGAGATTGTGTTGATGGGGGGTCTGGTCCCCCAAACCCAGGGGCTGTTCCCTCTGCCCCTGGGGAGCAGCCACACAGAGCAAGGAAGGCCGTGCTGGGACTCCTCAGTTCTGGAAATCTCCTGGCTCAAATGCCCACACCCCCTGTCTACAGCCTGGGGCAGGGGTGGTCGGACACCTCCCATGGCTGGTATAGACGCTCCCTCAGCAAGTGCACAATCAGCTGGCCCAGTGGGGAAAGGGCACCAGACACGCTTGATCAGTGTGAACTTGAACTTTCCTCAACCAACCCCCCTGGGGCAGAGCCCAGGCCCAGGGTGGGAGGGGAAGTGGAAAAGAGAAGGCCCCGCTGTTCCCCGTGGGGAACCAAGGAAGGCTGGACTGCTCCGGGCCGGGTGTGGGCGGGAGCCCCGTGGTGGATGAACTTGGGAGTTGCTGGGGTCAGGGGTAGATAAGGAAGGGATCCCTCACCACCCCCCCCCGTCTCCACCCCCCTCTGTCCCCCCCCAACCCCGCCGGTGACCTCGCTCACTTCTTTACCCCCCGGGGTTGTGACTCTGGCCCAGGAGCCCCAGGGGTGTGAGTGGGGCCTGGAGGATGTACATCCGGGTGTCACCTGTTTCAGCCAAAGCCAGGAAGCCCGAGAAACTCCAGATTGTCCCTTCACCACTGGGGTGGGGTGTTCGGTCCGAGGAGGTGTCTGTGGGGCGGGCCTGCGCGGGGCCCCGGGCCGGACCGCAGTGAGGACAGCCGGACGGGGCGGAGCCAGGCTGCCTGTGCCCCGGCTCACAGGAACACCCCCTCTCTCAGCCCTGTGTTCAGGTCAGGTCTTCACCGGCCGGTCGGGGGTGCTCAGCAGCCCTGAATACCCACAGCCGTACCCCAAACTGTCCAGTTGCTCCTACAGCATCCACCTGGAGGAGGGGTTCAGCATCATCCTGGACTTCGTGGGGTCCTTCGACGTGGAGACGCACCCTGAAACCCTGTGCCCCTACGACTCCCTCAAGGTCAGGTTCCCGGGATTTGGACCTCATCTGGCTCTGGCAGGTCCTGAGGTGACAGGGCCCTTTTTGCCTTCAGATTCAAACAGACAAAGAGGAATATGGCCCATTTTGCGGGACGACGTTGCCCAGCAGGATTGAAACAAAAAGCAACGCGGTGACCATCACCTTTGTCACGGATCGGTCGGGGGACCACACGGGCTGGAAGATCCACTACACCAGCACAGGTGAGGGCCAGTGGGTCTCAGATCCCAGCAGGAAGCTGTTTCGGGAGAGTCAAGGAGCCACACGGGATGGGACTTTTCCTAGCTGGGCCTGGGAAGTGTAGGGGGAGAAAAAGTTTTCCTTGACCCTCTTAGGGTCCCTGGCTGGGTCTGAAAAGTAAACTGATAAAGACAGATCAACAGGAGAAACACGTCCAGATTTCTTTCACGGAAGTTCTACATGGGAGACGTCATAAGGAAAGAAAGACCCAAAGAAACAGGCCTGTGTACTTTTGTGCCGGGTTTGCAGAAAGGTGGATGGATGGTCACGGGAAAAAAATGACACGTTAAGGTCAGTGCGGTAGACTCGGTGGGGGGTGGGGGGCCGGGAGGAGGACTTAGGCCTGTTTATTTGGATTCTTCTTGGCTCCCTTTGTCTTTAGAGATAAGGATCCTCCTTCCCTCCCGGCACAAGGAGGCCACCTGTCACATGACAGTACATGAGGGTCTTCTGACTGTGACAATGACAAAGGGCCGGGGAGCAGAGGTCTGAGGGATCTCCCTGTTTCTGTTTTCTCAAACTCCTTCAGTTTAAAAAGATATTCAACATGCCAAGGTGCTGTAGTTTGGGACAGTATGTCCCAAATTCCACCAGAAGACAAAGCAGGCTTGGGGGTGGGGGGGATGGCCTGTGAGAGACAATGGTACCCCAAGAGGAAATGCCATCCGCCCACGTGTCCATCCCTCTCCTCACCCCTCCTCCTGTCCCTCCCTCTTCCATCCACCCGACCAGCCCTCCTTCCTCTGTAAGAGAGGAAAAAATAATTCCCTCCTAAATTCTTAGCTGGGACCAAAAGACAGATTAACAAGAGAAAATCAAACAAGTTTGTTAACAGGTACGTCTCATGCACACGTGGGAGATTACCCAGGGGACAATGGGGACTTAGAACTCAGGCTTCGATAACATCTTCAGCTAAAGAGAAAAGAGAGGGGGGCGGGGAGCCAGTTACCGGCAGGTGGTGTGACCAGGAAAAGTATGGTAAATGAAAGTAAGGTCCGTAATACAGATTTAAGACCCTGCCTTCTCCGGTGATGAGTTTTCTAGTGACGTATTCATCCTTCTTCTAGGGCAGAGAGGGGGACACGCTTACAAAATGGACGTGTCTTTTGTAAACATAAAGTTCCCTGACAAAAGGAAAACTTCGACTCTGTTCTCAGAGCCTCTCCTGTGTCTGCAATGTCTGGAAATAACCAGCTCAAAACAATCCTTATGCTAAAGAGTCATATCTTGGGGTGCCCTCTTGCACCACCCCTCACGTCCAGCCATCAAAACCAGAAAACGAGATCCCACTGAGCGAATGTGAAGATCTAATCGGTTCTATTAAATGATTCATGATTTGGGCAGCATCCCATCTACCAAGTGGAGGGGAGCTCTGAAGGGGGGTGTACAAACATAGGAAGAAAGAGGGGGCAAGACAGTTATAAGCAAAAGAAAAGAAAAGATTGTTCCAGGCAAGATCACCTTCTCTTAGGGGAAAGAGTATGTCTCCCTCCTTCCCTCCATCCTCAGTGCCTGCCTTCCTTCCATCCACCCATCCACCCATCCATCCATCCATCCATCCATCCTTCTCTCCAACCACCCACCCATCCAGGAAATCAGAGTGCAGGCTTTGGTGTCAGGCTGCCTAGGTGTGTGTCCGGGCACGAACCTGTTGCCTGGCTATGTGACGCCGAACCTCTCACATAACTTTTCTGAGCCGTAATGTCCCAGTCGTCCCAATTAAGAACGATGTCTCCTTCAAAAGGCGTTCCTTCCTGGGCTGATGCAGGGAAGGCGCTGAGCACAGGGTGTGGCTTGGAGGAAGTGATAATTGGGATGATGGGGATTGGAGTCATTTTTTAAACGAGGAAACTGGATTAGAAAAGATTGACCCTTGGGCCACCTCGGTTAGAAACGTGAGAAGGGGCGAGACTGGTCGGGAGGAGGGAGACCGGAGCTAGGAGACCGATTGGTTTGTCCCCGGTTCATTCATTCTCCTGTAGGTCAGAGTCATAACACATCTTCAACAGAAGTGCTGCTTTCAGAGCAACTCAAAGGGGGAGTCAGGTTTGCGGGGCTGGTGGGTGAAGGGCCAAGGCAGAGCGGAGCAGGGCTCTGGCCTGGGTGCCGGGCAGCCACCAGGGTCGTCCCTGGAGACCGGG